GTCAATACAATGCACCAATACAGTGACACCAATACAGTGATCAGTGCTAATAAAAAGCACTGACACTGTACTAATGGCACTGGGCAGGAAGGGGTTAACATCAGGGGTGATCAAAGGGTTAACTGTGTGCTGTGTGTGCTTCACTGTGAGCATGCTGCTATGCAGAGCCATACAAAGCAGTGTGCCGGAGCTGACAGGGATGAGATCTGTGTTGTTTACATACAGTTCTCTCCCTCCGTTGGAAATGCTCCCCGATCATCGGATGCCGGTGAGTAATCAGGGGCCAGTACCCGGCGACTGACAGCCGAGGCAGTGAATATACGTGATTTTGCGCACCCTTGCCGCCCTGTAGCAGTATATCTTCTATAGGGCAGCGGGAAGCGGCTAGTAAGTGGGATCGGCTTAATAAAGAAGGGGCGTTGTAACAATGGCGAGGAATGGCCTCCACCTTTCTGTTGTGTGTCTCTTTGTACCGCATGGAGGAGAAAAGCAGCATTGTCTGAGGATTGGAGAACAAAAATGGTGGAAAAGCATGGACAGTCTCAAGGTGACAAGACCATCTCCAGAGATCTTCATGTTCCTGTGTCCACTGTGCGCAACATTGCAAACACATGAGAATGCCAAAACATTTGTCATTGCAACAATTACTAGTAGAAAAAAAATTAAAATCCTGGTCTCTATCCCGCCATTTGTAGACGCTAAAACGTTCACGTAAACCAATTAATTTACACGTATTGGGATTTTTTTTATAGCATGTTGCAGAATACATTTTGGCCTAAATTTATGATGAAATTTGATTTGTTACATTTTTTTACTGGACATGTTTGATAGCAAAAAGTCCAAAATCTTGGTTTTTTTTCTCAAAATTGTCGCGTTTTTTATTTTTTGTGCTATAAAAAAAAAAGACCACCAGTGATCAAATACCGCCGAAAGAAAGCTCCATACATGAGAAAAAAAGGACGTAAATTTCATTTGGGTGCAGCTTTGCATGACCGCGCAATTGTCAGTTAAAGTAACGCAGTGCCGTAACACGAAAAATGTCCTGGTCAGGAAAGGGGGGAAATCCTCAGGAGGGCGAGGGGTTAAAGAGAAGGGTTTTGAGGGATCATCTAAAGGTGGATAGATTCATGGTGGGGGTGTACCGGGGGTAACGGCTGAAGTGGTTACTGCACATGAGTATATGAATCTCTATCCAGGCAGGCGGGAGTTAACCTTTTTGCAAACTTCGCTCCGGCCAAGATCAGCAGGAGAGCGAACGCCGCTGGCGTGGGGCCAACATTCGTTCCAGGAATGGGAAGAGCGCCAAGCTAAGAACCACAAGCCGAAGTGCTTAGTGCAGAGCAAACAAGTTGGGGTGTCAGCGGAGGAGAAGGATGAGACTTATTAATGTTTGTACAACACCCTCCACACAAGGCAAACAAACTATTACTGAAGGAGCAGAGCCACCGACCAACCATCAATGGTGGTGACCACATTAAAGGGACCCGCCATCTGTCTCTGCTTCCTGCAGAAGGCCTCTGACATGTGTCACTGCCTATGGAGGGGGGGGGGGGGGGAGGAGGACACTTTGATCTGAAGAAAAGTCCTTAATTGATACATGATTGTCCTTATGATGTCTGATAGAAGATCAGCTTCCTCTATTTGGTGTCTCATAGGATGATAGAGGCCTCCAGGAAAGTCCTGAGCAATGAGCACCAATGGAATGACAATCGGATGTTGCCTGAAAGAGGAAGACCATCCAGTCCTACAATTAAAGGAGATATCATATGACGTCCTCCCAGAACAAGAGAACCGCCTTACGCCCGTCATGTTACTATATGCGGGAGGTGGTTAAAGGAGATATTATTTTCCTGAAAGCTGAACTGCAACCTTGCCTTCAGTCCTCTCCTGGACATGCGTAAGCTACAGAGCCTCATCACGGCACCCCGATGTTCTGTAGTTCCTAACTCTCCAATTTTAAGAGCCCCCATAGTAGAGGCACATGTATTTAATGGATAGACCAAGGGCAGATGGACCTGAGGGAGCCCACCCCTCCTTAAAGGTACAGGAGCGCACTGGACACCCAGCATGTAGCACAATGGCAGCTAAGGTGTTTAGTGCGCCCCCTTGACCAACAATTCAACAGTACAAAAAATGGCCGCTGCCCCAGTCTATAACTGGCCTTCTGAACCAGTTCTTTGGCTTTTAGCAGGGTCCTTGGGTCTGCCCCACTGCACCTGTGAGAATAAAAGGGGACAGTGGGCTGGGTCCAGGGGTTTGTCGGAGTCAGAGTCCAAAGGTCCAAGTTCTGTTGCTGTTGTTGACCTAGTCTTGGTCCGTTTTCCTGGTCTCGCCCGCCTACCTTCTTCCCCAAAGAGAGAAACAACTAGATAGGTGTCAGAAAGACACAGCTGGCCATCAAGATGTCAATCCTTCAAGACTTGAGGTTCACCCTGAAGATACCAGCTACTGGAGTATGCCTCTGTTACAAACTGCAACCGCATTTCATTTTTTTTTTTTTTTTTGCAGTCCACATTTGTACAATTCAGTGAACTTTACATTTTAGGTTAACTGTATTGCAGAGCGCCACCCCCGGGTCATTATAGAGAAGGCAGATCCTCATAGTGTGGAATATTTCCATGTAGCACAGTGTAGGTCAGAGGTCAGGTTTACTGACTGCTGTGAAATGCCCCAATCATCTATAATTCCGTCTCCGGGGTCAGGTCACAGAGTTCACTACATCCTCCATGTGTGTTTATATTCACACGCCTGACCTGGCAGAGATCCACCCTGCGTGACACAAATGGCACCAATTGGCATTTCCCCCAGACTGGCCAGGAAAGGGGCCAACTACAGGGGTGGCTGTTAAAATTTAAAAAAACCTTCATGGTGAATGTAACATGTGAGCGCTGAAAGACATTTGCTAAATCCCTGTGGAACATAAATTGGTATTATTATTATATTTTGTTATTGTATAGTTACTGTTTTTATAGGTTTTTTATTTTATTATTATTATTATTTTTGTTACTGTATAATAACTATTATTATTATATTTTGTTATTATTGTATAATTACTGTTATTATTATTATTATAGGTTTGTTATTATTTTATTATTATATTTTGTTATTGTATCATTACTATTATTATAGGTTTGTTATATTTTGTTATTATTGTATAATTACTGTTATTATTATTGTTGTTATTATATGTTTGTTATTTTTTTATTATTATATTTTTTGTTTTTTTATTTTGTCATTACTATTATTATTATTGTATTGTTCTTGTTATTTTATTATTACTATTATTATTTTATTGTTAAAATTCTCTTTTCACTTTATTTTTCACCTTGCTGCATCTCAGTGTTGCTGATCTCCTGCAGCCTCTTTGCAGCCCTTTCTTCCCACAAACACTCCAGCGATAGCTTTATGGTATTTCTCACAGCGGGTTTCCTTAACCACTTGCCGTCCGCCTGCTGTTCATAAACGGCACCCGCCATTTCTAGCTGTGCGCGCTCCTCCGGACACAGTGACACACTGATCGTTGGTCGGGACCTCTGTGCGAGGTCCCGATCATGTGATCACTGATTGGCCAATCAGTGATCACATGCAAAGTAGTAAGCAAGATGTCACTTGTGACATCATTGCTTACTACGTGTGAAATCTGTGAATGATCACAGAGGTCACATGGTACAGGGCCATTCACAACAGCCTTGTACCATGTGACAAGCTGTGACCAATCACAGCTCACACAGTATTTCTCAATGGCTGCAGGAATGCAGACAGAGAGAAGGAGAAATTATTGCTTTTACATCCTATATGGGTGTAAAAGCAATCACTGTAAAAAAAAAAAAATCTTCATCACCCCCCACAAGTAGTACAGTGTCACCATGGTGACCCTACTGCTAGGGCGACAGTATGTAAAAAAAAAAAAAAACATAAATAATAATATAAAAAAATAAAGTAACAATGTAAAAAAAATGTTTTTAAAAATTATAATTTTTGGTTATAAACTAATTTGGCTTATTTTTTTTTTACTAAAAATATAACGGAATACATTTTGGCCGAGATTTATGATGAAAGATTATTTATTTGCAAACTTTTATAAGAAAAACACTTTTTTTCAAAATTTTAAATAAAAATCCCAGCGGTGAATAAATACCACCAAAATAAAGCTTTATCTGTCTCAAAAAAATTCTAAAACATTCATATGGGTACAGTGTTGCATGACCGCGCAATTGTCATTCAAAGTGTGATAGCGCTGTAAGCTGAAAATTGGCCTGGACTGGAAGGGGGGGAAAGTGTCCGGACTGGAAGGGGGTGAAAGTGTCCGGACTGGAAGGGGGGGAAAGTGTCCGGACTGGAAGGGGGGGGGAAAGTGTCCGGACTGGAAGGGGGAAAGTGTCCGGACTGGAAGGGGGGAAAGTGTCCCGGACTGGAAGGGGGGGGAAAGTGTCCGGACTGGAAGGGGTTAAGGTGACAACAGCAGCGGTGTATTTAGGTGTTGTGCTGCTCTAGGCAACACAAAAATCAAAAGCTCTCTCTTCCCCCAGAGAGAGCCTGACGAGAGAGAGAGAAATATTCCCCTTCACAGCTCCGGACATCCCCAGGAACGAGAATCAGGCTCTGCATACACAGTCAAGCAGCCCGCAAATCTCTCACGGATCCTACGTGGACCTCATGCCTCGTGTCTCTTCTTCTGTCCCTTCTTCTGCCGCCCCCCTGAAAAATGCCGCCTTAGGAAAACGTCTTGTTTGCCTTGTGGTGAATACGCACCTGGATAACAGTAGATCATGCCTTTGTAATGTGTGGTGAAAGCCATGTGACAGGGTGACAACGCATGAGAGTATTTGAGGGACGGGGACCGAGTGTTGTCACTCTATAATGGGAGGTGCCTAAGCAAGGATCTCTATTGCAGGATCATAAGGGAGGATTTTCACGAAAATTTCAAAAATATTGAAAACAACTTTTGAAACGGCATTAATTCTGACCTCCGGACTGCTCTGCAGTCTTGCACAGATGTACCAGCTCCTCCCCTTCAGTCTTGCACAGGTGTAGAGGCTCCTCCTCCTCAGTCGTGCACAGGTGAACTGGCTCCTCCCCTTCAGTCTTGCACAGGTGTAGAGGCTCCTCCCCCTCAGTCGTGCACAGGTGAACTGGCTCCTCCCTTCAGTCTTGCACAGGTGTACCGGCTCCTCCCCTTCTGTCTTGCACAGGTGTACCGGCTCCTCCCCTTCAGTCTTGCACAGTTGTACCTGCTCCTCCCCTTCAGTCTTGCACAGGTGTACTGGCTCCTCCCCTTCATTCCTGCACAGGTGTACCAGCTCCTCCCCTTCAGTCTTGCACAGGTGTACCGACTCCTCCCCCTCAGTCTTGCACAGGTGTACCGACTCCTCCCCCTCAGTCTTGCACAGGTGTACCGGCTCCTCCCCCTCAGTCTTGCACAGGTGTACCGGCTCCTCCCCTCAGTCTTGCACAGGTGTACCGGCTCCTCTAACGGACTGAAACAGCTTCCTCTGATTTCCCCGCACACTGGGAGCTTCTCACAATGTGCATTAGAAGCTGCAGCAAGTCAGATAGAGCTCCAACTCGTTTCTGGCTTGAGGACACCCAGCATCATCTAGCTGCTTTCTCCCCAGCCCTGTCCCGCCCCCTTTCATTCATTGGACTTCAGGCATTTTACTCATGGAGGCTCGGCACCACATGTGGGCGTTACCTAGGGCAATCTAGCAACTTCAGGAAGCTATATGCAGACTCTTCCACCAGCTATGATCTGCCTGTATTGCATAGAGAAGCACAGAGACGCAGTAACGGTATCAGTGGTTCTATGTATGTTATAAAATGAACTCAGCACGGTGTTAATAATGTCATGCAGCCGGAACCAGAGAAGGCAAAATATAAGTGGAGTAAATGTCAGTTTTAAGTCGGCCACATGTGTGTATCCCAAAGAAAGAACACTAGAAGGATGGAAGTTCCTTTTTACTGCAGTCGTACCGCCCCCCTCCTCTGTGTGTTGTTATTGCAGGCAGGCCAGGGGCGGCTCAGGTCCCACAGAGAGGAGAGGGCAGCTGCCAGCGGAGAACGAGGAGCCAGGGATAGATGTCTGCCATGTCCCAGCATAACCTCCCAGGGCCCGGGAACAGAGGAGCCATTGACTCACATATACAGGTGGCAGCATTATGTAAGAGCCGCCCCGCAGTCCACGCTGCACCGTCCCTGTCCAGGAACATTCATCCCTGCAGGTGCTGTCATCGTCCTACATAAAGATCTGCAGGGGGCCACTTCATCCAAAAACTGAATCTGGGGGCCACTTCATCCAAAACTGAATCTGGGGGCCACTTCACCCAAAAACTGAATCTGAGAGCCACTTCACCCAAAAACTGAATCTGGGGGCCAATTCACCCACAAATGAATCTGAGAGCCACTTCACCCAAAAACTAAATCTGGGGGCCACTTCACCCAAAAACTAAATCTGGGGGCCACTGCATCGCAAAACTGAATCTGGGGGGCCACTTCATCCAAAAACTGAATCTGGGGGCCACTTCATCCAAAAACTGAATCTGGGGGCCACTTCATCCAAAAACTGAATCTGGGGGCCACTTCACCCAAAAACTACATCTGGGGGCCACTGCATCGAAAAACTGAATCTGGGGGCCACTTCATCCAAAACTGAATCTGGGGGCCACTTCATCCAAAACTGAATCTGGGGGCCACTTCATCCAAAACTGAATCTGGGGGCCACTTCATCCAAAAACTAAATCTGGGGGGCCAATTCATCCAAAAACTGAATCTGGGGGGCTACTTCATCCAAAAACTGAATCTGGGGGGCCACTTCATCCAAAAACTGAATCTGGGGGGCCACTTCATCCAAAAACTGAATCTGGGGGCCACTTCTTCCAAAAACTGAATCTGGGGGCCACTTCATCCAAAAACTGAATCTGGGGGCCACTTCATCCAAAAACTGAATCTGGGGGCCTGCTTCATCCAAAAACTGAATCTGGGGGGCCACTTCATCCAAAAACTGAATCTGGGGGGCCACTTCATCCAAAAACTGAATCTGGGGGCCACTTCATCCAAAAACTGAATCTGGGGGCCACTTCACCCAAATCTGAATCTGAGAGCCACTTCATCCAAAAACTGAATCTGGGGGCCACTTCACCCAAAAACTGAATCTGGGGGCCACTTCACCCAAAAACTGAATCTGGGGGCCACTTCACCCAAATCTGAATCTGAGAGCCACTTCATCCAAAAACTAAATCTGGGGGCCAATTCACCCACAAATGAATCTGGGGGCCACTTCATCCAAAAACTAAATCTGGGTGAAATTTCACCCACAAATGAATCTGTGGCGACTTCACCCAAATCTGGGGGCCACTTCCCCCAAAACTGAACCTGGGGGCCACTTCACTTATATCTTAATCTGGGGGCCAGTTCACCCAAAAACTGAATCTGGGGGCCATTTCACCCACAAATGAATCTGGGGGCGCCTTCCCCCAAATCTGGGGGCCACTTCCCCAAAACTGAACCTGAGGGCCACTTCCCTTAAATCTGAATCTGGGGACCACTTGACCCAAAAACTGAATCTGGGGGCCACTTCACCCAAAAACTAAATCTGGGGGTCACTTCATCCGAAACCTGAATCTGGGGACCACTTCACCCAAAACTGAATCTGGGGACCACTTCACTCAAAAACTAAATCAGGTGCCATTTCACCCACAAATGAATCTGGGGGCGACTTCCCCCAAATCTGGGGGCCGCTTCACCCAAAACTAAATCTGAGGGCCACTTCACCAAATCTGAATTTGGGTGTCACTTCACCCAAAACTGAATCTAGGAGCCACTTAACCCAAAAACGAAATCTAATGGCCACTTAACAGAAAAACTGAATCTGGGGGCCACTTCACCCAAAACTGAATCAGGTGCCACTTAACCCACAAATGAACCTGGGGGCCACTTCACCCAAAACTGTTAAATCTGTACCAGCAGTCTGAAGTGGGGAAGGGTCAGGAGTGCCTGCAGGGGCCCCGAGAAGAGGAGGATCTGGGCTGCTCTGTTGAAAACCACTACAGAATAGGTAAGTATAGACGTGTGTTATTTTTTTTATAAAAAAAAAACAAAAAACAAGCCTTTAGAGTCACTTTAATGCAGGGAGTGCAGTAAGGTACACATGGTCATGCCTGTAGATTCACTTTAGGTGGAGCATGCGGGCCAAGCTGTCCAGCTTTAAAACAAGAAATGTTGAATGAAATTCTAGTAGTGTATGGCCAGTCTATGGGTCTCCCGAAACATCCAATCAAAGTGTGAAGGGTGAGAGTACCACGAGACTAGAAGGGGTCCGGTACAAATCTTTATATGAAGTCAGTAGGTACAGCCAATGGTTTCTACAAATCCCCCGTCATTGGGTGGTATATTATGATGTTGGTGATTGGAGGAAATACTGGATGATAGGGACAGAGATCATGAAACGCGTTGGTTGTACCTATCTGAATGGATACATTTTTGCTACATCACTTATAGACTTGCGGTGCTCTCGTCCTTCACACTTCTCTTTGGCAGTTTAGGAGGAACAAAGCAAATCCCCCAATATCTATGTCTGGATTAGCAGTGATTTACTGAAGCAAAACGCAGGAAAGCTTTGTCCAAGGAAGTTGAAAAAAAAAATGAAGATGCTTTAAATCACTTCCATCTCCTATAGAAAGCCAATCATCAGAAATGTAAAAACCTCTTGGTGTGCATTCACTAATATACACGGCTCAAAAAAATGGAAGGAAGACTCTGAAAACCCATCAGATCCCAATGGGGAGGAATCTCCTGCTGGATCTCTATACTGACATGGACGGGGGATGGGTGAGGAACGTAAGGACGCCTCATAATTTGATGGAAATGAAAATGATCGACCTACAGAGGACTGAATTCAAAGACACCCCGAAAATCAAAGTGAAAAATGATGCAGCAGGCGAGTCCATTGTGCTGAAATGTCATTGCAGCAACTCAGAATGGTCCTCAGTAGTTTGTATGGCCCCCACGTGCTTGTATGCATGCCTGACAACGTCGGGGGAGGGTCCTAATGAGACCACGGATGGTGTCCTGGGGGATTTCCTCCCAGATCTGGACCAGGGACATCACTGAGCTCCTGGACAGTCTGAGGTGCAACCTGGTGGCGTCGGATGGACCGAAACATGACATCCCAGAGGTGTTCTATTGGATTAGGTCAGGTGCGCATGGGTGCCATTCAATGGGGGCCTCCAGGAACTGCCTGCATACTCTAACCACATGAGGCTGGGCATTGTGGTGTACCAGGAGGAACCCAGGACCCACTGCACCAATGTAGGGTCTGACAATGGGTCCAAGGATTTCATCCCGATACCTAATGGCAGTCAGGGTGCCATTGTCTAGCCTGTAGAGGTCTGTGCGTCCCTCCATGGATATGCCTCCCCAGACCATCACTGACCCACCACCACAACGTCATGCTGAACCATGTTACAGGCAGCAGAACGTTCTCCACGGCTTCTCCAGACCCTTTCACGTCTGTCACATGTGCTCAGGGTGAACCTGCTCTCATCTGTGAAAAGATGGACCTGCCAATTCTGGTGTTCAATGGCAAATGCCAATTGAGCTCCATGGTGCCGGGCAGTGAGCACAGGGCCCACTAGAGGACGTCGGGCCCTCAGGCTACCCTCATGAAGTCTGTTTCTGATTGTTTGGTCAGAGACATTCACACCAGTGGCCTGCTGGAGGTCATTTTGTAGGGCTCTGGCAGGGCTCATCCTGTTCCTCCTTGCACAAAGGAGCAGATACCGGTCCTGCTGATGGGTTAAGGACCTTCTACGGCCCTGTCCAGCTCTCCTAGAGGAACTGTCTGTCTCCTGGAATCTCCTCCATGCTCTTGAGAGTATGCTGGGAGACACAGCAAACCTTCTGCCAATGGCATGTATTGATGTGCCATCCTGGAGGAGTTGGACTGCCTGTGCAACCTCTGTAGGGTCCAGGTATGGCCTCATGCTACCAGCAGTGACACTGACCCTAGTCAAATGCAAAAGTAGTGAAAAACAGTCAGAAAAAGATGAGTAGGGAAAAAAATGTCAGTGGCCTCCACCTGTAAAACCATTCCTGTTTTGGGGGTTGTTTCATTGTTGCCCATCTAGTGCACCTGTTGTTAATTTAATTAACACCAAAGCAGCTGAAACTGCTGAACATCCCCCTCTGCGACTTACCTGACCAGATCCATATCCCAGGAGTGTCATTGACTTGATGCTAGACTCGGATTACAAAGTCTTCTTTTAGTTTTTTTGAGCAGTACGTGTATATATTTATATATTTAAAACAATTCTGTCTATGCTGAGTCACAGATGTGCGC